AACGCAGCTTCCCTCAGGACAACCCCCAGGATCTGCTTGTCAACCCCTGACGTTAAAGCACTGTGTGACACCGAGTTATTTGCATCACTTCCAACAGAAACCTGAGGCCTTCACGTTCACCCATCCATCCTCATTCCCCACGTGCTGGGAGAAACAAGGCAATGCTGGGAAAACAAGGGAATCACACCACCAGACAGTGGGAAAACCAGGAAGGCTTTTCTCATCAGCAAAAGGAGGGCATGGCTCAACACTCACATCCAGCCTTGGAGGCAGAACAGCTGTGGGGGCAACTCACATTGTAGGAGCGAGGGTGCCGCTGCTTCCACTGAACCAGGAGGAGCTGTGCCACCACGAGTGTGGCGATGAGGATGAGAACCATTTCGGCATGCATCGCCTCGTGGCCACGGTGCTTGGCGTGCATCCGTACGTGCTCCACCCTGCAACAACCAGGAAAAGGTGGCTGAAGAGCACTCCGGCACAGACTGCACGCTGGGGTAAAAGCACCTCAGGAGAGCCAGGAAGACCAGATGGAACAACAGCACTAAGAACTGTGTTTGTGAACAATCCAGACGGGAAGGGACAAAAGGCTGCTCTGGGAGCAGCTCATTTCTACGCTGTGAAATCAATGAACAACACTTTGCCCACCTGAGCATGAAGGAGGTGAACTCCCACTCATTCCATACCTGGACTAATGAACATGGAGTGCACAGTTGACATAACTTGCAACCCCAGAATGGGCAAGGTTACAAGGGACCACCAGTGGGGTCATCTCTCTCAATCTTCCTGATCAGGCAGCGTCTTCCTAGAGCACATTGCAGCTGTTTGACCCAGAGCATGTGCTAATTCTCCATACCAAATCCTCAGCCCAGTTTTGGAACCACTAACACTGTTCTCCCTCTTGTCCAGCAAGGGAAAGGCTGGAAGGGTCAGGGTGGAGAGTACGGGGTAAGAGCTGACATCTGGCAAAATCCCCAAACTCCTGCAAATTGCTTCTCTCCACCCTGAGCATTCTGGAACAAGTGATCTCCAACCCGATACTTACCAGACACCTGGGGTTTCTTTGCCTATCTTGTGCTGTTTGACCAAAAACAAGGTGCAATTAAGAGCTGTGACACCTTTATGTCTTGGTCTCTAGGTGATAATACTGTTCTAGAAGTCTGAGGAAAGAAAAAATCCAAACCTAACAAATAGGCCAAATTCTCTGATTTTAAGTCATTCTCTAGAAACTAACATAGGATCACAAAATCAGGTTGGAAGGCACCACAGTGGGTCATCTGGTCCAACCTCCTTGCTCAGGCAGGATCATCCTAGAGCACACAGCACAGGATTGTGTCCAGATGGTTCTGGAAGATCTCCAGTGAGGGGGATTCCACACCCTTTCTGAGTAATCTGTTCTAGTGCTCAGTTACTGCACAGGAAAGTTGTTCTTCCTCATGTTCAGATGGAATTTCCTGTGCATCTCTTTCTGCCTGTGGCCTCTTGTCCCATTGCTGGGCCCCACTGAGCAGAGCCTGGTCCTTCCTCTGATCCCTCCCTGCAGGCACTGACAGACATTGATGAGGTCCCCTCTCAGTCATCTCCTCTTGAGGCTGAACAGCCCCAGCTCCCTCAGCCTTTCCTCATGAGAGAGATGCTCCAGTCCCTTCATCATCTCTGTAAGGTCCACTGGAGCTGCTCCAGGAGCTCCATGTCCCTCCTGTCCTGAGGAGCCCAGAACTGGACACAGCACTTCAGAGGTGCCTCATCAGGGCTGAGTAAAGGAGCAGGATCACCTCCTTTGACTTGCTGGCAATGCTATTCCCAGTGCATCCCAGGATCCCATTGGCCTCCTTGGCCCACAGGGCACTGCTGGCTCAGGGACAGTTTGTTCTCCACCAGGATCCTCAGGTCCTTCTCAGAGATACTTTTCTTACCTGACCCTTACCTTGGTACTGAATCAACAAGGTTTAGCAACAGACTTGCACGTGGAGATTAATCCATCTTCTGACAACTAAAACTGGGGATTTTCTAATGCCTACTTACTCATAGGCCCACTTACATACATAAAGAATGATACTACTGACTTTTTCCCCTCATGAACCACAAAATACTCAGACAAGCTCATGTCCCTATTCATGCATTTGTGGAGAGACTTTGGATTAGCTGGAGGATATGGAATAAACAATAAAAAATAATAAAACCACAAATAATACCCAGTTATCACTACACACAGACCAATCAATAAAGCTACTCTGAACTTTGGCTTATTTCTCAGCTTGAGTTTAAAATCAAATTTAAACCTTTCCTCATGCTAGTCATTCTTCAGCCCAGCTATAGAAGTTACTCCATTTTCACTTAAAGAACTAAAAGCGCAAACTTTCATCTTTTTTTTGTGTATGTGTCTGTATCTTCCACTCATCCTATCCTCCCCCAGATTTTTCAGTGCAACTGAGCAACTTTCAGCTACTCAAATGCAGCCCTGCAGTATTTTTGGCAGAGACTAAGATTTCCTGTCATGGTAGACTGACTTAAGTTTAAAAAATGCAAAAGTTGTTCTGATTTATAACGTATCATTACTGCTTGCATTTCAGAATTAAAAGGCTTTGTCAGTGTGATCCAGCTTTATAAAGAAATCATAACAAGGCAGTGTAATATTACAAATTTATTGAGTTTCGTCAAAGTAATTTTTCAGCATTGAAAATTTCACACATATAAAACAACTTCAACTTCTATGCATTAAAACCGAAGTATGGATCATTTTTTTTAGTTTAAAGCAAGTGCTGTGCTTTTTTTAAACATCTCACGAACCAAATTCTTCAGTTATAAAGCTGATAAAAATAAGTGATACACCACTAGAGTTTGTTCTTCAAAATGTGAAATTCATCTCTTTGGGAAACAATATTTTTAAAATTGTATCATGAAAGATACAGACCTGAAAAAAGACAAACAATCATACACAAGGCATAAATGTTACATAGAGTAATTCAGACATTTTATAAAGAGATCTGGAAAAGTACCTAAAATAGTGATATTTATTTAGTATAAAATTTCAATAATAAAATATTGCTCATAATAAATAAGAAAACATGAGTTTCGTTAATACTGTCCTCCCCTTAAAGCTCTCTTGGATGTAAAAGGATCAGACCTGATCAAAAGTCAAATTTTTATTTTGTCCTCTATATGAAGGAGGCAGGTTTACAGGCTTCAGGTCATTCTTTGCTAGAAACAATTTTATTATAAACAAAACACAGAATTAATTTCAAGGCTCATGCACACTTATGGGGAAAAAATAATAATCCTCAAATGTGAATAAACATTATTACAGTAGATTTTAATACCCAAAGT